AGCACTTTCGAAGTGGTCTCACGAGAGAACAAAGGCATGAGCACTCTCAGTTTCTTTCTGCTCTCAGTTTCTCTCTGCTGATAGAACTTTTTTTATGCCACTAAGTGAACATCCCTAGATATTAGCGCATGGCCACGCATGACCTTGTAGACGCCATTGCTCGTAGCTTTTAAGTTGGTAATACAAGTACTCTGGTGACGCACAATAACGGGTGTCTGAAATTCTGTATAGCTCAATTTACCAATTTACTTCTGACTACGCGGCGTGTATATCGTTGGTGAGTTTTTCAATCTCCATTTTCCAACACGTTTTCATCCGCTTTGATGAAAATATATTTCCCGGTGTTGTTTATACACGAGAAAGGAACGAAACAATTCGGGCGGTATCTGATACTCGCGCGTTATTAGTGTTTAAACACTCGCGTATAACCGTCGAACCTGTTATAAATGCTTCTAAGTAACTTCCGCGTGTTTCTGTTTAAAAATGCTTGCGACTCACGTGTCGGTGACATACGAGTGTTCTGATTGACTACGTCACCTCCTGTCGATGTTGAGCCAATACCAGAAAATAGAGCATCTTTCAATTACTGAGGGTTAAAGTATTGTTTGCTTGACTGTCTATTTAGCGTTGAATCGTTTCGCGATGGGCGACTCTGACGACGAGTACGATAGAAAGAGAAGAGACAAATTTAGGGGAGAGAGGACAGAGTCTTATTCCAGAGAAGGCCGTCGAGATGACAGACGAAGGGACGATTGGGTCGACAGGTATATATTCAGTCTGTAATTTCACTGAAATCCCAATCCATGAATGAACTGCAATCGAATTGATCTAAATAGTCTGTCATAGTTTTAACTATAACGATTATTACAGAGAGTGGTCCAATAGACCCAGACAGCGTCCGGATTACAGGGAGTACCGTGGTGGTGGTGGTGGAGGACGTGACAGGTATAGCCCTGCCAGGTCCCAAGAGATGGCCCCTCCCATGAAAAGAATGAGAGCAGACTGGGAAGATCGACCTAGATACGGGCACGATTACTACAGCGGGGGTGGCGGCGGTGGTGCAACTTCCTGGGGTCCCGATCATTACCCGCCACCTCATCATGGAAATCATCACTATGGAAACCACGGCAACAGTAGCAGGTTCGTAGTTTTCATGTCATTTTCAAAACTGAGATGTTCGCTTTTTTTCTTCTCGCGAATTTGTTCTTGTCACGTAAACGGTCATGAGAAAGAGAGGTTGCGTCGTAACTATGCAAAAGAGGAGTCGTTTTACTCCAAGATTGTTGGCTAGATTAAGGTAACAGGCTAATTCTTCAAGTTCTTTTCTATAATTGTAAACTGTCGTTGTTGCTTCAGCCGAGAGGTAGCCGGTAATTTCAGCAATTCCAATGTCGAAACGCAACCGCCGATGATGTCTTTCAAAGCGTTTCTGGGAACGCAAGAAGATTCGATCACGGACGAAGAAGCTATTAAACTTTATAACGAGTATAAGTTGGAATTCAGGAGGCAACAGTTGAACGAATTCTTCGTTGCGCACAAGGACGAGGAATGGTATATTTCGTTTTTTTTTTTTTAGTATTCAGATATATCGCGAAGCTCAGTCGTACTTGAATGTGGATAAGAAAATAATTAATTTCTACAGTGGTCGATCGAAAAGTTATTTCACTTCAAACATCATTAGATTTCGACGTAATGAATCGTCTTTGACGCGTCACATTACCGCGATCATTCTATGAAAGGAGAGCCCACTGTAGGAAATAATCTTTTGATTCTAAAGAAGGCATCGAACCATCTGCTCGAGTATGTATGCGCACGATACGAGCGCATATATACGTCGAACAATGGGAGACTGTGAAAGGATGTAGTAGCTTTATAATTTTTGCTAAATTACAGACACAATTTAATCGGTAATCGCAAGCAATATGACC